CACACACATCAGCAAACACAAAGCTGAGCGCTCCCCAACGCCCCGTGCCAGCTTAGGAAGCAGTCAGTGGCCAATAACTATTATGTCAAAGCCTGCAAACAGTGCAGCAGCTAATGAATTCAATTACGGTGTTTGATGCTGTTCATATATCATGAAATGTGCGTTTCTGAGATACGAACATTTTGATGGATTAAAGGAGCATCTTGGGTTGATCCGAGTGGGGGTGGGAGGATATGACTTAACCTGATGAATGCAAATCAGCCTTCGTTTAGATACTGAAATGCGTTCTATTACTTTGAAATGTAATTAATGAGGGAGAGCAGGCATTGAAGAGTTTGTGGATGGAAATTGTTTCATCTTTTTTTATTTGATCACATCTTTGGGGCCGCTTTGAGACAGACTGGCACTTTCTTGGGCATGTTCTGAGTCTCAAAGTACAGTTACAGACTTATCTGCACATTGGCTAATATTTTCCAGCCCTGTGAGCTGATTATGTCCTGAAATCTCTGCTGGGATGCAGCTGTGGTTAGCTGCAGCACCACCTCTCACATTTTGCCCGGTGACCCTGTATCTCTTGTTCACTGTGTCTCACCCCATCTTTGTGATGGAAGACTTTCAGCAGTGCTTCAAAAATAACCAACAGTGCAGTGAAGAAACAGAATCAGAATCCACTGTTTGTTCTAACACACCTGACATCGATAGGCAAATGCCTGCCAGTTGTGGTCCAAGAACCTACAAATGAGGAAAGTCCAAACCGCTGCTTTATGGGAGTTGACTACGAGTGCAAACAGCTGTGCAGAATCCATACCTGCTGGATTTGTACCAGCCTCAGCCCAGGTGATCCCAAGAAGTCTGAATAGAGCACAGCACATGAGTGAGGTCTGAAGTCTTCTTGGAAAGCATGTTCATCTTCTTTTTCAGCCAGAGGGTGGTGAGGCACTGGCACAGGTTGCCCAAGGAGGCTGTGGATGCCCCATCCCTGCAGGCATTCAAGGCCAGGCTGGATGTGGCTCTGGGCAGCCTGGGCTGCTGGTTGGCGACCTGCACACAGCAGGGGGTTGGAACTGGATGAGCACTGTGCTCCTTTGCAACCCAGGCATTTCTGTGACTCCATGATCTTGTGCAGATCTGAGACTCTACACACTGCAGCTTTGTTTTCTCAAGACTGCTGGAGCCGGTGACTCTGGAGAGGTCTGCTGACCCCATGTTCTTTGTCCAAAGGCAACCCTGTGTGCTCTGGGTCTGAGTCTAGCTTGATGGGACCCTTCATTGCTATGACAACTTCTCATTCAAGGGCCTGAGCTGGGTCACCTCAGCCCCTTCTGTCTCTGCCAGCCAAGAGTACCCTACGCTCTGACTCACACAGCCCTCTTCTCCATAAGTAAGTGTGACTGAGAGTGGTTCATCTATTCAGGTTTTCTGACACTTTAAGTCAGGAAGCTTCCAGTATTTGAAGTGGAGTCTCATCAGCCTGGAGCAGGATATCTAAGTTCAATTTCCCCTTCCTAAAAAGGAGCTCTAGAGATGGCGATGGAGATGGAGAGGGTTGGAGAAGCATGTCTGCCCCGTGCTCCTCCTGCCCTCCAGCTCCACGTGAGTACAGCTGTCAGAGGCTGTGGGCACCTGGTGTTAGTTTCCCAAGGATGCCTTCCAGATACAGATGGTGATTTTCACTCACTTTGATGCCACATTAGAAGCTCCAAGGAACACAGGTTAATGGTGTTTATTCTGTCACTGTGTTTATTCTGGTGGTGATGGAGAGCAGTGATTTCTGGATGTAGGTTGTTAATGATGCTGCTTAACTTGATAAAGGTACTACATTGTAAGGTCAAATTTTCTGCTGATTTTGATGGCCAAAGACAGTGCTGATGGCTGTGCAGGTTGTGAAGCCTTGGACAGTGGGATTAGAGAAACAGGACGCTGACTTAAGCTATGGATTGTAGTTAAACAGCTGTTGGATGTTCTATGTGAAGAGTTCATGGTTGTCAGTGATGGATGTAGGGTGTCTGTTGACACTGCTTCTGAGATTGTTCCTTCACTTCAGAATTTCTCAAAGTTCCCTTCACTTTATCTGTGCAGTACAATGAGACATGGCAATCATAGAATCATAGCATCATAAAATGGCCTGGGTTGCAAAGGACGACAATGCTCATCTAGTTTCAACCCTCTGCTGTGTGCAGGTCGCCAACCAGCAGCCCAGGCTGCCCAGAGCCACATCCAGCCTGGCCTTGAATGCCTGCAGGGATGGGGCATCCACAGCCTCCTTGGGCAACCTGTGCCAGTGCCTCACCACCCTCTGAATTCCCTGTATTTAGACGTACAGAAAAATATTCAGATTAGGTGTACACTCCTTGGCACTTAGAGTTAATGAAGGATGGGCAAGCGTTAATATGACTTTTCTATCAGACTTTGTTATTCCTTTATAGCAAGGAGAAGCTGCTGTAATTAGTGCATGAGCAGTCAAAGCTAACAAGAAAAAAGAAAATCAGAAATAAAAATAGTTGATTGAAGTTATTAGCAAATATTTTTGGTCGAAATGTGCTGCTCATCATGCCTATTATGAGTTTGTTGTTTCTTTTTCCCCGTCTGCAAATTATGTGCATAATATATTTGCTGATTTTTTGTTGATGCAAGCGTTCTTTGTTCTTCTGTTTTCAAACAAAAAAGTTCACTTTGCGTTTCCAACTTATTTACTCTGATAGTTCCTAACTGTCATACAATGTATGGTTCAGACTCTGGAATCAAAGCGTGTGTTAATTCTGCTTCCTAGGGAACTGGCTGCAGCTTTTAAAAGGGAATGATAGATGCTGAATGGGGGTCATTTTCAAACTCCACAAATTCGTAAAAACTTATCAACTGCTTGGATTTTTTAATGTGTGGTTACCTTTCAGTGACAGCACCCTGCGTGCCATAGCTGAGCAGCACAGCGAACACCAAGTCTTCATTTGCTGGTTAAGAGGACTGGCATCCTCAGCAGGAAGGGTTTTTCATGCCATGTGCAAGGGGATGCCCACAGGTCGACAGATTTTATGCTTCTTTCCTGCATTGGATAAAGTAGAAAAAAGAAAACCAACCAACAACTAATTAATTAAATGTTAATTATCCTCAGAGTCATGGAAGTGCAAATTCAGCAAAGCATTTGTAAGCTCCAAAGAGTTGTTTTGTTCAAGGAGCTACTGAGCTAACAAAACTGAGTCTGAATGGGCATTTTCACCACTTGCAGAGATGTGACAGTTGGGCTCTCTGCCCATCCTTGGTGCCTCATTTGAGTCTTTGTATTTGATGTTGTTATGCTTACTGTATGCAGGAAGTGCAAACCATGGGTTACCCAAAGTATGGGATGCAGACACAGGAATTTCCAACTCACAGCCTTGGCCATTTGTAACAGCATCACACTTCATGGGCTGTATGAGTGTAAATACAGGAGGCTAGGCAGGAGAGTGCTGCTAATACATCCTGTTGTCAGATGCTTCTCACCCGGGTGCTCTTCATGGAGTGGGAGGGCAGAGAGAGCAGGAGACAACCCAGGGCAGCCTGGAAAACATTTCACTTCACCAGGAAGCCAGCACAAAGAAGAGAAATGTCAGATAGTCTGTCTTCCAGTGCTTGCTGTCTTCCAGTGCTTGTCTTCAACCTCACTGTTTGCTTGTAACAGGTATTTTCTAGCTGATGTTCTCCTTGCAAGGGATTCTAGATGGAGATAGGATATATAAATGCACCTATATGCATATGTACTTAGGCAGACATATATAGAGGGATGGGGATCTTGAGATTGTGTAAGTGGTATTTTGTATTCGGTACGTGAAAATATATTTGTATTTGAAGAACTTAATGGCTGATTCTGAAGCACTTGTCCAAAAATAACTATTGAACCAAGACTGTTTTATAGCAACCAATTTGCTGCCGTAAATGGTTGCAGTTCTGGATTGCTTCATGCTTATTAAAAGAGTGACAAGAAAATTCAAATTAGTGACTTGCAATGTTATTTTGCTCTCGTACAGTAGGCTGATCAGAAAACATGAGTTACAGATGCTTGTCTTTCCAGGAAGATGGTGAGGAATGGTGATCCTCAGGTTGGCAGGAAGCCCTCCTGAGCGCTAAGCCTGCCCCTGGGGTGGCCACCAACTTACCTGCTCTACAGTTCCCATCTGAAGTGGTCAGACTGCCTTGTGTCTGCCTTACTGGGGGCTAGAGAATTAATTAAATGTCTACTGCTAGCTTGAATCACCTCAAATGTAAACAGACATCCCTTGGGATCCTTGCTGTGGCAATGCAACCATCGTACTCACAGTGAGCTCTCTCACAGGGTTATATCTCAGAAGAGCAACTGTTAGCTAGGGCCTGATAATGATGTCCTTTCAGCCCTGCTGCCTACAGGAGGTGGCAGCAGGCAGCCTGCCTCTGGGCTGTGCAGGATTGGGAGAAGCCTCCACGCTGCCTCAGGGAAGAGCAGAGCTGTAAACCAGGGCAGTCTGTAGCCCTGGGCACGTCTCATCTCTTCCCATTGAACCAACTGGCACAAAACTGGTTTGCATGTCCATGTTTGTTTCCAGGTAGATCGCTGGTGACACTACTGGTTCTGTTAGTGATGTCAGATTGATATCTCTGTTTCCTCTTCTCTCAGTGCTCCGATAGCATGGGACTGAGGAAGGGATTGTAAGGACCTCCAGAAACAGATAACAAAAATTTATGAATTATTTTGGTTACTCTTCAGCTGTCAGCAGCTTTGCATAATTTAGACACTACGAATCCCTATTTTTCATTTTGGAAGTAACCAATCTTTTATCAGTGAATGTTCTCTGATGGTATTTGAATAAGATCTCATCTTACAAAGATGTGCCAAGTGTTTGTGTGGGAAGTTCCAGTGACTTCCCAACCACAGTATGACAGAGAAAAGGAAGAATGAACCAAAGTTTTCATAAAGTCTGAAGATGCAAAATTGGTGCTTTGTTAGACTAAACAGTTGTTTGGTTTTTTTTTTTCTTTTTTACACATTTCAGCCTTAAAAAAAGGACGTTTCTGGATCACTCCTGATCCATATCACAAAGATGACAACATCCAGATTGGGCGAGAGGTGAAAATCTCCTGCCAGGTGGAAGCTGTCCCTTCGGAGGAGCTCACATTCAGCTGGTTTAAAAATGGGCGGCCCTTGCGAAGCTCTGAAAGGATGGTCATCACACAGACCGACCCTGACGTGTCGCCTGGCACCACCAACCTGGACATCATTGACTTGAAATTCACAGACTTTGGGACGTACACGTGTGTCGCGTCTCTGAAAGGAGGTGGCATATCGGACATCAGCATTGATGTCAACATCTCCAGCAGCACAGGTAAGGAGGCTTTCTCTGGTTTCAGTTTTGCATCTGTTGTAGCCAGCTCATAGCTTTCCTCGACTCCTGGGAAAAAGAGGTGAATACGCAGAGTGCTTCTCAACATTGGGATATCCAAGCAGGATATAAATCGTGAGCTGAGTTGCTCTGATTAAAAGAGTAAGTGGCACGTGATGCTCTCTTCCAAGAGCACACGAGGGTCTCATTTATTCAGATATGCCTGCTTTTATTGTCAGGAAAGTTATTGCTTCTGAAAAAGGATTTCGGCCTTTATTTTGGACTTACAGGCTGTCTGGAGTCATCAAAAAATAGCTGGTAGGAAATGACACAGAAAAGTAGGCAGGTGGTTTTGTTAACCAGACTGAACCCATCCAGCTGCTCTCAATAAACAGCGAGTCCCAGGAACAGGGGAAGGAGCTCTCTTTTTTCTTAAGGATTATACACTGCTTGTTGGTGGATCACGAGATTCCCAATAGGGAAGAAGTTTGAGATGCCTATTATGCATATTTCCAGATCAGTGACTGAAATGTCTCTCTTTTGGATGAGCTAAAACCTTGGCTGTTACCTTGACTGATAATAAATGCCTTGTTGTGGTTGTGGAGTAGGACCGTGTAACACAACATTAATTCTCAGCTTTTCTTTATCTCTTTGCTAATAGCTTGCTTATAACCAACACGTTTCTCAGGCTTTTTCCCCCAGTAGTGGAGTTTAATACCTGAGGTAGCCCATGTTAATATCATAAACTAGAGAGCATTCTGAATGCAGGACTTTTTCCTCCTGAAAAATCAGCTAAAGCCAAAAATAAGGGTTGGCAGTTGATTTCTACAGAAATAAAACAGCAAACAGATACAAAGCAACGAACACTTCTGTTTTCAGAACACTATTTAATGTTAGAACATGGAGACAAAGAGTGTCAGAATTACAACTGCTCTCCTTGTTGTCTTTTATGTGAAGCTCTGCAGTGCTTCCCTCAGACTGTGCATGTCATTGACTGGGGTAAGGCATGCAGTGCACGCTGTTTAGACATGAGACAACAAAGAACAATTGAAAACTATTTTTGTAGCATGGAAAGAAAATGTTTAACAGACATCTTCTGACCCTTTTACCGAAAACATTCAAGAAATTGCTTTCTACTTTTTCAGAGAGATTAATTGCACTCTGTTGCATCAGATACATCCATATTTCTATTATTTAACTCTTCTAATATTGTTTTTGTTTCACAATACATATCATGTCTAAACAATCTCACAACTGTCATGATAAATTATTGCTTAGGCTGTAATCTTGAACCTGCCGTCCATCCTCAGTAAGACAGTGGTGCCAATAGGAGAATGGTTTTGCTTGGTGATGTTGCATTTCAGCAAAGAGCTGAAAGAACTGGAGCATGCAGGGCTTCCTTGGGACCAGTGCAGTTCTGTGTTGGCAAACTGTCCTGGTTTGGTCCTGAGCAGACAGCTCAGGAGACCTCATTTCCTTGGTTCCTCCCAAGTTGACCTGTAGGTTACAAGTGTGTTGCACATGTTTCATCAGTGACATGGCAGAGAGATGAATATGGAGGTGTTTTGACCTGTAATGAACAAAGGGAACAAATAAACAAAATGAACTCAGGTAACTCCGTGACTCTGGATAGGAGATTTCTAAGGGAGCTGACCAAGGCCAATTCAGGGCCACTTTATCGTCTCTGAAAGTTCACAGTGACCTAACGATGAAGACTGGAAACATGCAGACTTCAGCCTTTCTTCTAAAAAGGCAAGGAGATGTAAGGAAGCCCAGGCTGCCCAGCCCCACCTCAGTCCCTGTGACGGTCAGGGAGCAAATTATGCCTGGCCCAACCTGGCTGCCTGCTGGGATGGAAACCTGGGTGTGGGCAAGGGAAGGGAGGAGAAGCTGTCAGCCTTGGCTTCAGCAAAATCTTGACAGCAGATTTTGTAGCTTCTTTGTAGATAACTGGAGTCTAGTTTGCAGAGGTAGGATGAACTATAACTCATGTTGTAAAAATGAGATGCAAGGAATTGTGGTCACTGATGCAAAGCCAAATTTTGCATCTGTGTAAGTGAACAGGCAGTCAGTGCTGATGCAGTTCACCTCTGCAGTATTTCCACCCTGAAACATAGCACATACATATATATAAACCTTGCAGGACGGGAGGAAAAAAACACACATTCCATTTAGTTTTGTTCTTGTTTTGAACATCTTGTTTCTTTTTATGAAACTGTGCAACTATTATATAGAAGTATTTATTATTCCTGCTTGCTAAATCCTGAAATGATCTTTTTTGTGCACTTGTAATTAACTTCACAGTGACTGTGCTGGAGTAGTGCAGGGACACTATTAATGCACATCTCTCTAACAGGTTAAGAACTGAGTTGCAAACAGAGGATTGTTATGGAGTAAGGGCCAAGTTTGCATGATGGGAACTGGAGCTTAATGATGGTTGAGGTCCCTTCCAACCCAAGCCATTCTGTGATTCTATGATGTTTGCAAATTTTGTTGCCTGCTTGCTAGGGTGAAGCAGACAGTGATGTCTGTGCAATCATGCATTTCCACCTGGCAGAAGTGCCCACTATATTATCTGTACTCACTGGGGATTCGTTGGATGGATTGGAAGCACCCAGTAGATGGCTGTACCTGTAACCCCATCAGAGCTCCCACCAGGGGTGACAGATTATGTCAGCCCTTACAGACACTGCCCTGCAATACTCAGGAAGATCAGAGCTGGGAAAAAAGTCTTGCGCTTGGAATCGACCTCGTTCAGCATCTCTAAATTCTGCGTATTTGTGTGATTTCATTACCTGATTAAGTGGAAGCTGAAATAGTTTCAGCGCACATTTGAAGGTCGTTACTGATTCATCAAGAATCATTAGTGCCGTGGTAATTGTGAACATAAGGCCTGAGCGCCAACGTGTTTTTTTCCAAATGCCAGAACTGGCGTTGGAGGCACCAAGTTGTGCTGGGTGCTGCTTCGTGGGCTCTGGGATTGCTCCCTGTTCCTGCAGGGAACATTTATTGGCATGACTACCTGGGTGGTGCACACTCAACACAGCTCAGCTCCTCCTGGAACACAGCAGGCTCCTCATGGAACCACAAAGTCGGGCAGGGGAAGCTGCATCTTCCCAAAGGAGGCAGGGGATGGCTGGGTCTCCAGTGGCAGCAGGCTGGGCAGGGACACCCAGGCATGGTGTGCCAGCCTGCTGGCATGCTCAGTGTCACGCTCCAGCAGGAATGTTTTTTCCCTTGACGTTTTGTACTTTCAGCAGGAAAGGCGTGTGAGTACCTTGTCTAAATGGACCTGAAATAATCCCCTTGCAGCCTCCCCACTACATCTCTATAAGTAGGTCACTGAATTGTGGAAATAGAGACTCAAAGCTTGCGTCTTTGTCCTCTAAAAGCCCTGCCAGCCATAAAACCAACCCTGGGCAAATGCTGAGTGACAAGACGGCTTTTCTGTGTGTGTGTGTTGAGGGGGATCTGAAGGCAAGAGAAGTGAATACAGCAAAACAAAACAAAACAAAACAAAAACCAACAGCAAAATGGGCTCAAGGTAACCCAGAAAGAGGTGGATCAGAGAAGTGTGTTTGTCTTTCTTCATGATCGTTTTCTCTGCTTAAATATCATATTCAGAGAAGGAAAAATAAGGCTTTAGGTCACATCTGTTCCGCTGCGCTCAGTGTGGGTTCTTACTCTGTCCCTAAAATCAGTGTCAGTACTGCAGGAGACGTAACATCTGTCACTTCTGGCTTTTTCTCTTCTCATCTTCCCCCTGGAGGCCGCATTGTGCACTGAAATGTGTGGTGCTTTCAAGGGGGTTATTTTAACTGCTCTCTCTGGATGCACTGCCCTGAATTGCTGTCAGAAGGGCTGGGTGAAGTGGCTGATGCTCAGGGCGGCAGGTAGTGGTGACCTTTCTTTAACTAAGAGAGCTCTTTCTACTGTTTCAGCCCAGAGTGGGTACAATTAGATACTCTACATGGTAAGTAAGTCATCTCAATTCTGCATGCCTGGGTGAACCTGAAGCTGTGTTGAGTGTGCACCACCTAGGCAGTCATGCCAATAAATTGATTTGCATGAGTGTTTCCAGAGACAGGCAAAGTAATTCCTGAAGAACTACTGTATGTGATGAGAGACCGTGGCCTCAAGCTGCACCAGGAGAGGTTCAGGCTGGGTGTTAGGAAGCATTTCTTCTGTGAAAGAGTGATCAGGCACTGGCACAGCTGCCCATGGAGTGCCCATCCTGGAGGTGTTTCAGAGCCATGGAGATGTGGCACTGAGGGATGTGGGCAGTGGGCATGGTGGGCTGGGGTTGGGCTTGGGGATCTTGGAGAGCTTTTCTGATCTGAATGCTTCTGTGAGGCCACATGTCTACCCTGCAGTGCGATGGGAGGGCTTCCCTGTTAAAGTAATTAGTTATTAAATAGTGAATTAATTAAATGCCCAGACATGTATTATAACATGTGGCCTCTATCTGTTTGTGAAGTGTGTGTCCTCTGGTCACCTTTCTCCTCCTTTGATGATACATAAAAGAGAACTTCATTGTACTTCTAAATGTTTATTATAATCACAGCACAGCCTTTTAGCATAATGAAAAAATGCTTTCTGTGAGATAATTAGTGATCTAATAAAAATGTTTGTAAACCTTAAGCACTGTCCAGAGTGATTGTTCACGGGCAGCCCTGAGACACTTCAGGGGTACTACCAGAAAACAGACAGACTATTCACAATTGCAGCAAATTGATGATTTTTTTTTGTGGGCCATTATCTTCAGAGTTTATCTTTGAAGGGAATAGGTGAACAGGAGGGACAGATAAATGCCATATTTTGTTAAAAAGCTTTTCCTTTATAGCTCTATTTTAGAGCACTTAATGTGCACAGATTTTTCTTTTTAATTTTATCGCTGGGAACCGCGGTCCCTTCCCGTCGCACCGCTTGCAGCAGGGCTGCCCGTGTGCTCCTGCAGCCTGCCTGCCTCTCTTGGCATCTCCATGCTTTCAGCCCCACCAGGA